ATCCAGCACCGGGACCCCCCACACCCCTTTATCCTGTACCAATAACCCTCTGCAGCCCCATCCCCAGCACCGGGACCCCTCTGCACTTCCATTGCTGAGCTCCTGGGCCCCCTGAACCCCCATTCCCGGGCATCAGAATCCACTGAACCCCCATTCGTGAGAACGGGGATGCCCTTGAATGTTCATTTCCGTCCATTGGGACCCCTCCCCATACCCCCTTATTTGCCACTGGGACCCCCCTGAAGCCCCATTCCTGGGTACTGGGACCCGCTGCACCCCGTTCCCAGCACCAGAACCCCTCCACCGCTTATTGGAGCGGGGATCCCCCTGAACCCCCTTATCTGGACAGGGGTATGGCACCTGAACCCTGGATTGGGAACACTGGGACACCCCTGAATTTTCACGTTTAACTGAGGCCCTATTGAACCCCAAGTCGCCGGAAGGAAACTCCTCTGAATCCTCATTCCGTGGCATGGGAACCCCCCTGTACCCCATTCCTGGGCACTAGGACCCCCCCGAATCCCCATTTCTGGACACCGGGACCCTCCTGCACCCCCTCATCCTGCACCTGCAACCCCTGCACCCCCTTCCCGGCCATCCCGCCTTTCCCAGACCCCAGACCCGCCCTTTTCCTTGGCTTTCAGACCCCCCAGATCTCCCAAGTTTCCGAGTCTCCCCAGTTCTCTATTCCTGGCGCTTCCTGAAAGGGGGCTCTGGCGGGTCCCGCGAGTCCCAGGGTGTCTCAGGGGGATCGCAGTGGGGATCCAGTTGGATCCAGATGAATTCCCTGGAATTCCCCTTCCCCCCCCCACTCTTCGTTCCCTCGATCCCTTTCGCTTTCGCATCTCCCGAACTGCGCCACAGAGATCGATCTGTAACGGCTCTGATGGCTCCACCGCCGGCTCTGGGGGTGCTCTTGGGGCTCCTGGCGCTCCTGGGGGACCCGGGGGGAGCGACGAGAGGTGAGTGGGACCCCCGGCCCCGGGAACCCCGGGAACCCCCTGAACCGCAATTCCCCAGCACAGGGACACCCCTAAACTTCCATTTCCGGCCACCGGGAATCCCCTGAAACCTCCATTCCCGGGAATGGAACCCCCCTGAACACCCATTTTTGGTACCGTGACCCCAATCCTTCCCCCTCCCCAGCACCGGGACCCCCATGAACCCCCGTTTCTAGACAGCGGCATCCCCCTGTCCCACGTCAGTACCCTGGGACTCTCCTGCACCCCCATTCCCGGGCACTGAGATCCCACTGCTCCCCCTTATTCGGCCCTGGAACATCCCTGCACCTCCTTCCCGGGCATCCCCCCCCATTCCCAGACCCCAGCCCCGCCCTTTTCCTTGACCTTTGGGCTCTCCAGATTTCCCGAATTTCGGCATCCCTCCCGTTCTCCACTCCCAGCACCTCCTCAGCGGGGTCTGGTCCTCACAGCGGCGGGGATCCAGATGAATTCCCTGGGATTCCTCTTCCTCCCCACCCCCACCCGTCCCCTCCCCCTCCTTGTTCCCTTGGTCACTTTCCCATCTCCCAAACGGCGCCCCCGGGATCCGCCCGCCCCTCCCAGCCCACAGATCCCCCTTTGCCGTGACCCCGGGACCCCCTGCACCCCCACTCCTGCCTCTCCCAGCCCACAGACCCCACTTCCCTCAGCACCGGGGACCCCTGGATTCCCCTTTCCTGGGGGACAGGGAACCCCTGGATCCCCCATCCCGCCTCTCCCAGTCCCTTCCTTGAACCTTGGACCCTTTCCAGCTCTCCCAGTTCCACTTCCTGACCCTTGGATGATGCCAGATCCTGCCACTCTCTGCGTCCTCCCAATTCCCCACCCCCTGTGTGTCCTGTGGGGGTGTCCCTGGGGGTTCTGAAGGATTCCTGGGAGGATCAGATGGGGTTCCAGGGGAGATCCAGGGTAATTCCCAGGAAGTTCCCCCCTGAACTTCCATTCCGAGGCATTGGACCCCCCCGCACTCCCTTATCCTGCCCCAATCCCCCCCTGCACCCCCTTTCCCAGCCCATCCCGCTTTCCCCAGTCTCTCTTTTTCCTTGACCCTGGACCCCACTCCTGCTTTTCCCAGCCCCCAGCCCCCTCTTTGCATCAAGCACATCCAGGACCCCGTTTCCCAGGTATCCCAGCTCTCCCCACACTTTGACCCCTCTTTCCTTGACACTGGGGACCCCTGGATCCCCTTTCCTTGGAACAGGGGCCTTCTGGTCCCACCCCCCAACTCTCTCCTGTACCCCCCTCTCCTTGCCCTGGCATCCCCAAATCCCTTTCCAGCTCTCCCATTCCCCCTTTCATTGATCCGTGACCGCCCAGACCCCCCAAATCTCCGTGTCCCCCCAGTTCTCCACTCCCTGTGTTACCGGAGTGTGGCGGTGTCGGAGCCCGGCCCGGGGGTCCCCCAGTTCATGGTCATGGGGTACCTGGATGGGATCCCCTTTGAGCGCTACGACAGCGAGCGGGGCCGGATGGAGCCGCTGACACCGTGGATGAAGAACGGACCCGAAACGGGATATTGGGATAGGGTGACTGAGATCTCCAAGAGGAACCAGCTCGTGGACGCTGAGAACCTGGAGACAGCACGGGGCCGGTACAACCAGAGCGGGGGTGAGTGGGGGGAGCCAGGGCTGGGATGGGGTTGAAATGGAAACTATGGGACTGGAATGGGGATCTATGGGGTTAGGATTGGGATCTGTGGGGGTGGGTAGTTCCATGGCCTGGGATGGGGATCCACGGAGCTGGAATGGGAACTGTGGGGCTGGGATGGGGATCCACAGAGTTGGGATAGGATCTGTGGGGGTTGGTTGTGGATTCACGGGGCTCCGAGGGGCTGAGATGGGGATCCATCAGGCTGGTGTGGGATATCTTGTGATCCATGGGTTTGGGATGTGGATCCATGAGGATCCAAGGGGATGGGATGAGGCTCTGTGGGTCTCCCATCAGACTCTGGGGCTCCATAGGGCTGGAATGGGGCTCTGTGGGGCTGGGACACAATTCCATGGCTCTCTGTGGGTTCAATCCCCTCCAGGTCTGCACACACTGCACTGGGTTCATGGCTGTGACCTCCTGTCCGACGGGAGTGTCCGTGGATCCAGTCGGCACGGTTACGATGGGCGGGATTTCATCTCCTTCGATCCGGGATCCAAGAGCTTCGTGGCGGCCGACAGCGCTGCCCAGGTCACCACGAGGCGCTGGAATGCTGACAATAACTATTTAGAGCATTGGATGGATTACGTGGAGCACACCTGCAGGGAAGAGCTCCAGGAATACGTCAGATATGGGCAGGAGGAGCTGAAGCGCAAAGGTGGGGGCAGAATCCCTGTGGGAATTGGGGATTTGGGAACGGAGGACTTGGGAACATAATTCCTGTGG